CTGAGTTAATCCATGCATGCACACGCGCGTGCGCGTGCGCACACACACACACATATATAAAAAAATGCAATTTATGGCAGCAAACAGTCCATCCTTATGTCTATAATACCCAGTTTTGTAATCTGCTTATTTCCTCTCTAGCAATTTCATAAGGATGCCACATCTTATGTTATGTTAGTTAACTTTGTTATTTCTAATTGTTCCCAACTTTTCTGAATTAAATCTTCGGTGTTCTGTTATTTTTCCAGATTTTAGCGTATAATATCCTTGCAATGGTTACTATGTACAAAACCCTGTGTTTTATTACTTCTTTGCACTCTCATCTCTTTGTGTATAATAATAATACTAAGCACAAAGGTGGTTCTACCTTTATCTGTATCTGTAACAATTCCTTGAGCATCTCACGTTACCATTTGCCAAAATGTGCCTTTTTATACACCCCACCACATGTGAAAGTTGTTGCCTTTATCTTTATGACATATCCACACTATGCAAACTTCACACCGTATCTTATTATTATTATTTAGAAGTCACTAACCCTAGTTTCCAAGTTTTCGCATAACTGGACGCTCTGATTAAAAACTGAATTCTGGTTTGTTCAGCTGTTTGCTCACAGAGTGGCACAAAGTGGCAGTGAAGAGGCTGTGTTCACCCACAAGCAACTTGTGTACATCCCACCTTATTAAGCCAGGATATGATTCTGCAAACCACATAGTAACTTGTCAAATTAGCCCATGACAGAGGTGGAGCCTGAACTGGGTCTCTAAGATCAGTATCCACTGGACCATATAGGCTAGGCTCTCAGTTGCACCCTGAGACCCAAGCATCTAAATAGTAGCAACTTGAGTCAAAGTGTGTCAGAAGGGAGACAAAAAAAACCCCTCAACATTTCCAAAAGTTCTGGGAACAAACACTTCCTTGGCACAGTAGGTAGAGTGCTAACGTATCTATGAACCACCACCACCCTTCCCGGGCCTTGCATTTTTAAAACTGCCCATGTCTTTGCCTGAAAACTGTGGTAGGCTTGTGCAGCGGTGCCAGCTGCTACTCTGCTGTCACCAGGAAAGGCTGACACATACACTCCTGTATCCTAGGGACCACCCTCATTAGGCAGAACTCACAAAGCACAAAGGAAGCTACAGCAAACAGATGAAGAATTACTGCATTCATTCACAAAGGGCCTTGAAACTACACAAATCAAATGGAACACGGGACAATCAGGAAGATTTGATTGAGACGGAGGGAGGGAACCTAGTTTATTTACTGGCCTTTCATAATCTGTGTGCTTCTTTCTGAATCAAGCTTACATCTGTCTAGACTAATTAACTCCTTAAAACTTATGCACAGTCTGCTCTCTAACTATGCACACGCGAACCACTTTGGGCATCGTATAGGAGTTTCAAAAGTGCACCAGGAGTCCCTCCTTTGTTAAGGGAAGTACATGAGGAAGGAAAGCAACAAATTACTCTTGTGGCATGTGAAGAGCTGGCATGGGTTCCTCCCAGAAGATGGCACATTTTATCTTGGTTTTTCTCCAAAGCAGCTACTCCAAAGTAACAAGTGAGGTATGGCATGAACCATGCACTGTTTCCAAGAATCACATTTTTAAAAACACAAACCTCCCACCATTCCATCAGCTGCCGAAAAACCCCCACTGTTAAATATTCAGAACCAGCCACTAGGAGTATACCAATAATTCACACCTATCTATATGGCTAAAACATAATGGCTGGGGTGGGATTTTCAATGATGCATGTGACCATTTAGATTCCTTCCTCCATCTTTTCCATGTAAGCGTGATCCATGGACAATTGGACTAAGACACATCTGATAAAGAATAACTTTAAACATGTAACAGAACATATGGGAAGATCTATAAGGCCTAAGTCATTCAGAGGTTGCTTAGTCAGATTGCCAAGTAATTTGTGCATTTGTTTTGGGGGTGTGTGTTGAAATCCAGCTTTGCTGGCCTTTAACAAAAGGTGCTACTAATCACTTATTTAAAAACTCACCAACACGTGTGTGTGAAAAGCAAAGCAGTTGATTATTGTGTAGCACAATATGCAGATTACTGAGTTCTTCCCATCACCATTCAACTTTGTCTAGAGAGTGTACCACTTACATAAACAATCCTTCAAATAAGCAGCACTTTTGACATGTGCAGAGTGTTGCATCTCAAACAACCAAAGAAAGCGAACAAGCACTTTCCGAAGTCTGTTAAAAGTTTGGGATCAGCTGGGAGGGCAATCTGGATTTCAATGCTAATTGCATACATTCTGATTTATCATAGAAGATTCGACTCCTGGCATTTTGCATTTGCTCTAAAATGCTGGCATAGCTGGAAGTGCAGGGGTGTGGGGGGGAGATGCTGTAACAATCTCATTGTTTAGTGTCTGACAGCCTGACTAGCTAAACATCTGTTTGAAATATTAATAACTGTCAGATGGGAACAGCTCAGGGGCTCCGTACGGTTTCACACCATCTGTTTGTAGAATAAACACACTTACATGCATACACTTGGAAACATTTTGTCTGAGTTCTACATTCCTCGTCTGCTACTGTTTGCATATGTAGGTTGATGGGAGGTAGGGGACTGTAGCGGCCCAGGACCACATGGGCTGGTAAGTTTGAGCATGCTGCTGGGGAAATGACTAACTGAGGGCAGGTACATGTTACACTGCAGACAAGCTTCCCATTCCTCAACTATGCGTCTCCCAATGAACTCCTGTATCACCCAGAAGAAAGCAGCACACGTGGGCTGGACAGCTAGAACCCATTGTAGCTCCAAGGCACATGTCCAGTGTATGTCCCCATGTATTTACAGACACTTCCCTGCCTTCAAACACTTCGCATTTACCAGAAGACAGGTTGCGAAGAAACTGCAAATGCATCAGCCGCATAAAGTGTGAATCGGCCCAGTGAGTTGAAAACATGCAAAAACAAAACAAAAAACACACAACAAAAACCCAGAGGAAGAATTCATGCATATTTAACAACGGTGGCATAAAGACACCACCAACCAGTTGTATTTTTCTTCTTTCAAGAGCCTCTTAATATTAGATTTATTAAAGTATGCTGGGCTTCTATTACAAGCAGTTAAGATTGGGAAAAGGAGTATCTTGAAAAGATGTCCCTGGGTACTTTTTAAATTTCCCATTTGGAAGATATGCATATATTGCCCTCTTCTAATTTGGGTGCAAAGTCTTGATACTTTGTTTAACTCAACTGACTTTGCTTTTCCCCTCCTCCTGCTGCCCCTACCCAGGCTTAGTTGATCATGCCTTAAACTGAATCCAGAATGCAGAGGCAGTTGGAAATAATTCTATCCACCCCTCACTTCCTGATGTTTAGCAAATGAGCGATCTATATGAATGAATGAGCATCACAGATTTGCAACAGTCTTTGCCGCAGCTAAATGATTCCTGATCACCTAAGGTACCTTCTGCCCAACTGACTACCTGAGATTATCGTAAAGGGTTCAAAGATCACAGGATGTTCAGTACACTACAAGCACAGCTGGACTTTTGCCTTTTATCTCCTGTGTCCCACACATTTTCCTGTCTCCAACCGTCCCTGTGCTGACTATTCCATACTCTTGCTTTTACTTCCTCCCTGTATTTGTGCTCAGCTCTGCTTCCTTTGCCTTCTCCCTAATAATGCTTTCAAAATCTCACATATCATCTGCAGAAGCTCTATCTTATTTCAGCTTATGACTTCTGTTATGTCACATGGCCCTTGTCATTGACAGTCAGCGTAGTGTAAACATTACAGTGTTGGACTATGACCTGGGAGATCAGGGTTCAAATCCCCATTCAGCCATGAAACTCACTGGGTGAATTTGGGCCAGTCAGCGCTTCTCAGTCTAACCCACCTCATAGGATTGTTGTGAGGATAAATTTTCCCCTTCTCCCTTGCAGCTCTTCAGACACCCTCAAAATCTGCTTGATAGGGTTGCAGTGAGAAGATTTTTGGGTGGTGAGGAGGAATGGGAAGTTCTGCTGCTCCACTTGTGAAGTGTTGGATACAACCTTGAGCATTTGACTGCCAATGTATGCTGAACTAACAACCAATAACCTCAGACTGAAGTGGTAAGAGAGAAAGCTTAAGCACGAGTGACCTGTGCTTCCTTTTTCCATGCTTCCAGATTGTGGTACAAAATGGGAGATGTGCTTCCCTAGCTCTCATAATCAACAGTGCATTTAGCTTCCCTGCTAGTTGCCTGGAAATTGTCCTTTACTAAGGACCTCTGGACAATTAAGTCCAGTCGAAGGTGACTATGGGGTTGTGGCACTCATCTCACTTTCAGGCAGAGGGAGTCAGCGTTTGTCCACAGACAACTTTCCGGGTCACGTGGCCAACATGACGAAACTGCTTCTGGTGCAATGGAATACCGTGACGGAAGCCAGGGCATGCGAAAACGCCGTTTACCTTCCCGCCACAGCGGTAGCTATTTATCTGCTTGCACTGGTGTGCTTTTGAATTGCTAGGTTGGCAGGAGCTGGGACAGAGCATTGGGAGCTCACTCCGTTGCGGGGATTCGAACTGCCGACCTTCTGACTGGCAAGAGGCTCAGTGGTTTAGACCACAGCACCACCCGCATCCCTGGTTGTCCTTTACTAACCTCACTTAAAGGTATGCAAATCCATTTGGGGGAATCAGTCAGGTGTCTGCTCTCTTCATTAGGATGCCCACACTCCCAAGTGACTTCTGGCTTTATGCATATGAATTATGTTTTATCATAACTGCTCTGGAGTTGTTGGGGTTTTTTTACAATGAAGAGGATATAAATGTTTTAAAAACGAAAGCTTCATCATTTTCTAATGCACTTCTGGGCTGATCCATAGTTCTGTGATAGACTCTGAGCAACCTAAGAGTTTCAAAGGAAGAGGTACAGTGGAATGTACTTTTTGAACAGTACAGTGGAATGTACTTTTTGAATAGATGTACGAGTTCTGCTTACCAGAACACTCAGAACTGTAGTTCCCACGGTAGCATTCTCAAACAGACTGATGTTGTAGAGGACTTGGCTGAAAATTGGGCGGTTGTCATTCTCGTTGATGAGGTTAATCTTCACCCGTGCAAAGCCAACATGGTCTGGCATGCTCTCATTTGCAAACAGCTGAGTGGAAACAAGGAGTAAATGATGAGTATGAAATTTAATTTGTGTCTTTAAGAGAGAGAGAGAGAGAGAGGTTCTAAATGTCCCTTGATTTCCTTGAGCGGACTGTTATGACAGCAGCAAGCATTTGGCTGGCAGGCTACACATCAGGATTGAACCAGAATTCCACTGAATATGCCTGACGCATGAGCATCTTTTCAGTCAAAAGCTCACAGCTTTACACTGCCACATTTCCAGGTTACAGCCCCTGGATTTTAACATCCAGAGCCTTGAAGCTTTATTTTCCTATTCAAGGAAGTCAAATCTCAACCTTGCAATCAAAAGCATAATCCATGTCTAACCGAAGTGACGTCATTTGTAAATCCCACCAGTAAGGAAATTCTGACAATCTTCTTCACATTTTAGGCGCATTTGCTTTCTTATAAAGACATTAGGTACATTTTGAAGTCCATAAAATCCGGCTAGCATTCCAGGCACCCCACCTTTCGTTTTGTTTGAAAGAATGTTTGCAATCTTCAAGCTACAGAAAAGACTGATAAGCCTGAAAACTTAATACCGAATTAGTGAGGACAGCAACTTTGGAACTAGAGTATGTTCAAGATATGAACTGACCCGGTTTGGGAATCGAAATTATGAACATGGCCAGATTCCCGCTTAATTTGGGTTTGGTTCATAATAGGATGTGCTGCTGCTGCTGCTGCTGCCAATTAGCTCAGCTTGCTAGTTTTTACCACTCCTTCCAAGCAAATGTACCTCTCAGAGGGGTTGGGGAACTGGTGGCAGGGAGGGTTTGCCTGTGGGAGGCTGGAGAGGACTCTTCTTAACTTGAAATGATGCTCTTGAGAGTCATTCATGCTGGAACTCACTGGATTTGTAGCACTGTGTGCACCTTGTTTCAAATGAGTTGAAGACACATTCATTATACGTAAACTAGAAGCCCCTAGACTTGCACTTTATATATTTCCAATGCTGCCCTTTATTCTGAAAAGTCATCCACTTCAGCTTTAATATGCCTATCAGGATTTAGTTGTGGGTTCCAGTGTCATGTTTGTGATACAAGCATCAATGCCCTCAGGAACTACGGCATAGGGATTTGCCACTATCTTACCCTCTTAACTTTTAAAACCCGAGCAGGATTTAACCCAATGATTTACATTTCTATTTTATGCCCTGTAGTGCTCTAGGAAGGCAGGATTTTATTTATGCTTCCTTGCTGGTGTATAAAGGCCCACTGTCAAGACTAATAGCAACAGAGGCTGCTGGCATGATGTTTACAGAGCTGCTTTGACTTTTGAAAAATTTACAGCTCACCCAGACATTGGGACAAAGCTGAAGCAGGCATCTGGAAAGAGCTTCAGTGCTTGATAGGTGCATTTAAACCAAAGTTTTATAGAACATAAAACTTTTATAGCTTCAAAACATAAAAGGGAGGGGGTGTTCTATTTAAGCTTCTGCAGCTGGGGCCCTAAATTTTGGAAGATAACGCTCACAGCAGATCTCTTTTCATTTTCTTCTTCTTTTTTGGCCAAATTTTAATATTGTGAAAACAGTATGAACCGGGCAAATTAGCAAGAGCTGTGAAAGCCCCTCCACATGTGACATTTGCTTCCGTCCCTGATTTTTTAACAAACTTATTACACTAATATTTTGTCCCTGCACCTAGTGACGCCAACCTCCTTTCCTATTACCCAATAACATGACAATCATACATGATAAATGATACAGTGAGGGATGCACACCACATTTTAATGTCATTCTCCCAAAGGTGACAGGCTAATGCATGCTTGTCAAATATATAGGCACACTGAGTTTTTTGGGGCCTACAGTTCCTCCTCCTAACATTCCCTTAGTCGGCAGCTGCTTTTTATACCCATGTCTGATGAAGCACAGTCAGCTAAGATCATTTCCATTAAAGTGGGCCAATTGTTCATCTGCTTTCAGAAGATCCAGAAGAACGCATCCAACAGAGGATTCTTTCCTCTACACCTTTGGCCCTGCTGAGTTCATTCTGTTTGCTTTCCATCAGGACATCAGAGTCTCCAAGGTTCAGGCCCATTCCTCTTAGTATGATCCCCACACAACAGTAGTACTTTTACACATCACTCCTGTGAGGAACTGGTGTTGGGTAAGTCAGCTGTGCATGACCAAACTGGCACACCCAACATTAGATCTGGGAATGTCTTCTTCATTACAAGAGTTTTGTGGAGGAAAATGTTAACAGCTAGAAGAGAAAACTTTTGCAAGCCTTCTGTACTGATCCCACAGGACCAATTCAGGAATGACCTTTGTCCACTCACTTACAAGTTGATGCAGTATCCACTTTGGTCCTTTACAAGTTTCAAGGCACTAAAGAGTTCAGAGGTTTCACAGGTTGCCCTGTGTTCCAAAGCACGGGATCTCTCAGGTAGAAGGGTGGTTTAAAAAGGTAGTAAGTAACAACAATAATAACTTGCCCATTTGCCCCCTAGGCAGCTAGTTTGCAGTGAACGAGCTTTCAAAAGGAAATCATTACAAAAGATAGTAAACACAACAACATTAGTAAACATAACAAACAACAAACCATGATTTGTTAGTTTCATCCATATTAACTTCTACATGTCAACAGTAACTGGAGGAAGCTCACTGTGGTAAAGCAAGCAATATCATTCATCACAGAACATGGAGGCTGATTTTTATTTTTAATGGGAATGTTCATTCAAGTCATTCTTGTAATGAACATAAAAGTGCAGAAGGTGTTATAGCTAAGTTTGATGGCGATTGTCATGGGGTATGTTCAACAAAAGGACCAAGGTAGGCACAAACTCCATGCAGCTGTGCTCCATTAAGCATCTGCCTATTCTGGCACAGCTGTCACATGACTTAATTCCTCCACTGCTAGGCCTATGGCATAGGGACCATAAACTTTATGAAGACACACAAACTGCATTTTAACTACTTCATATAAAGTGGTACACCTGGAGAGGAATGACACAGGGAGGCCACATCTTAAAACAGATGGGAAAAGAGACTCTGTGTAAAGGGACAAAAGAAAAGAACTTAGAAATGGGCTAGAAGCTTATTTGCTTATGAAAGAGAAGAGAGTGATATTTATCTGAACTAGTCCAGTAGGATGGAAGCACATATACAACAATGTTTGTGGAAATGAAGTTTCACAGACATCCTTTACTTAAAAACAGATGTCTTTAGCTGGTGTAGCATTATGATGATGAGTGCCAGCTAACCAGCTGCCATTTATGTCCTCAATTACAGATTCCTCACCTGCAATATTGGACAATAATACTGGTCTGCTTCAATGGGCTGTTGTAAGAATTTTTGAGAGAACAAATGTGAAAGCCTGAACTCTTGAAACATGTTATATGGATAGTAATGTTGATTAGATGAATTCGTCTTGCAATCAAATGTTTTATCATGTTAGTCACTGGGAGCTCATCCTATCATCAAGGAGTACTTCAAATTCGGAACTATTTTACTGCAAATTCTACTTGATTAATTTTGCCTTACTCAAAAATCTGTCTCCACTCCCATATATTATCTTTCTCCACAATGAAGATGGATGGTATCCAACCATCTTCAGTCTCTCTTATGTCTCATCCTCCCTTAAGTTGCTCATATATCTTTTAAAAGAATCCTTACAGAAAATTCGTAGCGAGGGATTGTCTCAAAGTCCAGCGGCACTGCAACTCTAATCCGGATATCTGCCTTTCCTTGAATTGACGTTGGAGAGATGATAAAGTGGTTGGAGTTGTTTCCCACCAGGTAAACTTCAAAAACACTGTTGAGCCCCTGAAGAAACAAAAAAAGGCAGTAATATTAAACCTGAATGAGCCTGACTGGCTGGTGTGCAGATAGGGATCACCAATGCTAAACACATAGGAAAAGTCTACCTAACTCAACAGAAGAAAAGTGAACAGAACATAGCCTGAAGGTAAAATAACTTAATGAAGTGTGCAATGAAAAAAGAGATGGAATACATTTTTTAAAAAAATGGCAAAGAAAGAAATCTGTAAATATGGAGAATAGGAAGCCAAGGTTTGCTTGCGTCTACAAAACTCAAATAGTAGCAGTTTACTCTAGCAGCCACTTCGGCAGTCAAGTACTGGAACATCACTTCCATACTGGAACATAAGAACAGCCCTTCCGGATTAAACCAAAGGGCCCTCTAGTCCAGTTTCCTGTTCTCACAGTGGCCAATTATATGCCTATAAGAAGCCTGCAAACAAGACATGAATGCAACAGCGCTTTCCATATTTTTGTTCCCCAGAGGCATACTGCCTATGATGCAGGAGGTAATATCTAGCTATCATGATTAGTGGCCTTATGCTCTGTGGATTTGCTCAAGTACACCTTTAAAATTGCCCAAGTTGGCAGCCATCGCCATTTTGTGGTAGCAAAACTATGTGCTGTCTGAGTGCCTTTCATTGCACCCTCAGCCCAGCCCAAATGCCCATAGATTTCCAGGAAGCCTTGAGCACCATCTTTATTTTGCATTCTTCTTAAACGAATATTTGGGGACCAAAAACACATTCAGTAGAACCTTACATCTTCTTGAAATATGAATTCCAAATGAATTCCTATGAAATCTGTGAGACCACTTATGTATTTATTTATTTTTTGCTAAAGAGCACATGGTTGGTGTAAATCGCCCCTTAAGCGGCAGTAGTAGCTATCCTTATCATAATGGAGAGGAGATGAAGCCTCAGCATTAGAACTTGAGCAGAGAAGGGGGCAGCTACAAAAAAAGAAAAAAAGTTTTGTTCCCCAAAAAACTGACACTTCACAATCTCCATGCCAAACGCGGCACTCCTTCCCAGAGCCCAGCCCAGCCCAGCAGAGCACATTACAATAAAGTTGAAAAAACCGCTGGAGCTGAATTTCCAATTTTCCCCCAAATGGAGTCAGTCTTGTTGGAAGGAGGGACCAATTAAATGCACGAAGGGGCACTAATAGCAAAAGCTGGCTGAGCGTGACAGCTGAGAAGCGGGTGACATGGCTAGAGAATCCCCCTTTCCATTTCTGCCTCCCTCCTCCCAACCAAATCCAACAATAAATATCCTAGAATGCAGTGGAAAAGAGCTAAAATAATATTGGTATTTATACAGTAGCCAGAGGTGAGGGTGATACCTCACAGACAGGTTTAAGAAGACCAGGTTCCTATTCCAAAGATCTGGCAACTTGAAGAAGCCAAAAAAGTATCGCATTGAAATCTAAACTGAAAAGTAGACAATGGTAAATAGGGTTTTGTTCTCCAGGTAGCATGTGCAACATGAAAATAACCAGAATCTGCTGGCTCATGCTTCTGCTTATTGGAGAATGAAAAGGGTTCCCTTTCTTTTTCAAAATACAGGTGGGGAAAATGCCACACTCAGGACCCTCTAAGGGCAGAATTTCAAGATCAAATGTTCCTTTCTTCCATAGTTCTGAGGTGGAAGCTGTCTTCAGTTCTGGAATGAATAAAAGCAATTCATCCCAAACATGGGATTATATTCTCTAATTTGCTAGAAACACCCTTTTGGAAGATGTGATAACCATAGGCTGCACCAAACGAGGCAAATGTATCTATGCAATAGCATATAGTGAACATGTCAACAGATTTCCAGGTTACTTCCCTGCACACAGACTCAATCAAAGGCCAAGTCCTATCAATTGTACAAGCTGCAGAACCTTTCAAGGACTGAGCTGCAAGAACACTTGAGGGCCTTGTAAATCAGATGAATGAAATATTTACTTTAGTACCACAGAAGTAGAAATCCCGGAACCCAAAAAAAAGAGGAACAAAAATTTAAACCTCCTAGAAACCTGGGCCATAGAAAGAATGAGGGCTCTCCTAACATTCACGATGTGACATTCTTTCCACCCTAAATGAAGGGGATTTAGAAAGAAGGCAAGACGATCTCCTCAAACCTATTAAATTAAATGCCCCATTTCTGTTTGCACAAATCTGCAGAGAATTTCTCTAACATTTACTGTTTATTGAATAGTCATTCTGATGTATCTGCAGGAAGGTTCTATGATGTCACACCAAGCACATTTTCCAGTGCATTTTCCCAACACTTTCGAAGCTCCCATTGATGAAAGTGGAAGTTTCCCTGTTCTGGTTTCATGGAGCCATGGGGCCGATTTAAACCTACATTATAACACATGGCTATTTATGACTCGTTGGATGAACAACATCTGGCTACTCTAAACAAATGGCTCTTTTCTATCTTTATGCTTAATGATCAACAGTTGGCCACTTACGGTCAGAGTTGCTATACCAGGCCTCTGCTGTATATGTACTTCAAACTAATGCAAGTAAAAAAATACAAAATCAGGTTTGTATTTCTTAAAAATCATATGCAAGAAACTTTTACATCTGGTAGGATTCATGCTCCATCACCCCACTCACAAATTATTTACATAAACCATGAAAAACTAGAATTTTGTATTGGCCTTATTTCTGCAGTAATTCTTCAGCCTGCTTGCTTTTTTCTTTATTTACTTATTTTAACGAATTAATATCCCACCCTTCCTCCCAGAGGAGCACAGTGTGGCAAGCAACAAGTGATAAAATAACAAAACTTCTTAAAGAAGATTCCTAGTCTAGGTGCAGACTAGGAAAGATCTCAGCTTAAAAGTCTAGATGGAAGAGGAAGGTCTTCAGTAGGCACCAGAAAGACAACAGAAAAGGCACTTGTATAATATTTAAGGGGATGGAATTCCAAAGGGTAGATACCACAAGGCTATAGGCCTGACACCAGTGTTATGAGGAATGGACCTCCCGACAAGAGGCAAGATCTTTCAGATATTCTGGTCCCAAGTTGTACAGAACTTTATACAGCAAAACCAGCACCATGAATTTAGCCCAGTACCTAATCAGCAGCTTTCAACCATGGGGTGTTGGTGATGTTCTGCCCCAGGGAGCAACTAAGCTGCATTTTGCACTAGCTGCAGCTTCTGGACCAACCTCAAGGGCAGCCCCACAAACACCATGTTGAAGTAATCTAACTTGGAGGTTACCAGCATATAGACAAAGTGGTTCCCGTCTAGAAATGGCTTACCAGCTAAAGTCACTTGAGCCTCTAGTAACGAAGATGGATCCCGGAGCGCTTCCAGACTATGAAGCTGCTCTTTTAGGGGGAGTGTGACCCCACTCAAAGCAGGCAAAGCTTATGACCCATGCAAATTGGCAAACCAGTAAACCTGTTAAGATGAGTGTTCCACCCCTGAAAAGATCACCTGGAAAATATCCTTTGGAAGCATGCCACACCAAAATCTCCATCCATGTGCAATTGTTACGTATGCCATAAAAATAACCGCCTAAATCTGAAGAAGCTCCTGGCAAAGGCTGAAGGGCACAGTGGGACAGTAAGCTCATGCAGTGGATGCTGAAGGAGGCCTCAAGGACTTAGAGGAAACAGTCGAGTGTCCCATGTGACCTGCCCTGCATCTCCTAAGCTGTTGATTTGGCAGTAGAATCTTATTTCATCCTCACATGGAATGGGAGATGGTCGCAATGCTGTCCTTTGCCTCAGGCAGCAAAATGTCTTGGGCAGCCCTGAAAAACAGTGTTGGCCAGTGCTTGCTGTCTGGAGGTACAACTGCACTGATTCACCAGATAGGTAAGCTGGGTAAAATAAAGGCAGGCAGGATTGGAGAAAGCAGACATGTGCACGCTTGGCAAGGAAGTAAGCAGGTACAGGCAGGTTGATGGGACTTTGGTATTTACTTAAGAGACAAATTGCTCAATCTGGGAAGCCGGACTGGAGCCTGAGGTTTTATAAGGCACGGCAAAGCCTCACTGCCTCATTATGTCCTCTGACAATTGCTGAGTAGGCAATTTGCAGTACTTTCTTCTAAACAGCTGCACTGATGGAGAAGGGCAGAAGCTCCCTCTTCTGGGAAGCTGCCATGGTGGCACAAAGGGCTATACAAAACTAGCACTTTACAGACCCGGCAGGGATTTGTCTGTGCGTCTATTGCAGTTATTAGAGTCCAAGTAATATGTAACTTTTGCATAAGGTGTTGTCACAGGCTCAGCTACAGAAATAAGGTGAGAAAGCCACAGAAATGTCTTCACCACTCTTTAGCTGGGATGGATCTCTCATGTTCCATCATTGCTCTGGGAGCAGGTGCCTTTCATCACGGTAAGCCGCTGTCGATTTTCTTGGACCCCAAGAGGATAATTTTTTTGTTGGGGTGGGGGGAAGGAGGCGTGATAATGTTGAACATCAAAAGAAGCCCCCAGCATGTGCGGAAAGGAGCAGGGTTATTTAATTCCCTTCCAGCTGGGAAAACAGATCAGCCTGTTGATATTTGCCATCCCTAATTACTAACTACTTCAGTGCCTCAGCTTCCCCATGTGAAGTCTTGAGAAGTGGAATTCATCTGCCCGTTGGGAGAAGTGCTGTATTTTTCTCTGTTATTTATTTCATCTTTTTTTTATTGTTGATTCTCCCCCATGCTGCTTTCTTTGCTCCTAGTTTACCGAAGCCTTTGAACCCCCTGCAGATGGCTGAGAGCAAATCTGAATATTCAAATTGTTATCAGCTGCCCACCAGAAGGGACTGGCTTAGCCTGGATCACAACTATCTCCCCCTGTCACACACTGGCCTACAGGAAAAGGTGGGGAGATTCTGGAAGATTTTCCATATTGTTTTATAACGAAAGGACTGGCCACCCCACAGAGACAGACGGGGGACACACACACACACACACACACACACACACACACATCCTGGTTCTACCTGGGAAATTATTTGAGGCATACGAAATGAAGAGCAAGAGAAAATAAAAAGGCAGAATCAGTATAAAATGTGTAAAAAACACTTGAAGGGGGATATAGAAAACCTCCCTGTTTCCCCCCACTGTGATTCCTACATATTCCCAGACTGGCATTGCTACACTGGGACACTTACCCCCTCTCTCTCTTTTTTCTTTTTGTAAAGCAAAACCAAATAATTGCTATGCACAGTTGCAGGTATAACAGCATCTACACATCACATTCCCCACTCGATAGCAAATGCAACACTATAAAGTGTTGGGAGATTTGAATCATTGCTGTGCATCACATGCATAATTAGTTTAATTGTGCAGCAACTTGGGCAATTAAACTGCCACTTTTAAAACGAATCCGACAGTGATGATGCAGTTTCCGCTTCCGCAGTGGAAATCAGAGATGCAAGGCATCCCTCCACTTGCAAACAGAATAGTTTTGTTAACAACAACAACAACTTTATTATTTGTACCATGCCCATCTGACTGGGCCACTCTGGGCAACTTCCAGAATGTACAAAAACAGATCTCATTCAGATAGATAGATAGATAGATAGATATCGATTCCATTTAACCTAGGCTTCATCCATATCTGGCTTATAAACTAAGCATGTGAGGCTGTGATTTTACATGCCTTTCTTTCCTATTCTTCTCCTTCAACCAGGCTGCAACGCATCTGCCATTCTACAGGACTGCACTTTCCCTCTGTGAAAAGCACAAATGCTTCACTGCTCTTTCTTGTGAGGAAAACAAAGCCAAGGCCAGCAGCAGCCCAATGCCCAGGAACAACCATAAAAATAATAAGCCAAACTTCACAGGCCAACACTTCACAGGAAACCCTACAATAATATATGAACCTGACATACCTGCCCAGGAAGGAACAGTTCTCTTTAAAAGCCAGAAACTCGTCTTGGATTGAAAGCTGCCATTTCGAAACATTTATATTATGGATTTATATTAAGGACTCCAACACAAGTTTCATCTGTGACGGTGAACTTATAAAAAAAAGTGGGTGTTGCTATAGCTTCAACTCTCTTGTAAGTCACACTCTGTACAGTCACAGCCAGCACTAGCTGCTTCAGGTGGCCATCTCACTCTACCTAATGGTAGGGCTGGAAGATAACAATTCAGTGCACCACCACATATGTTCATTTACCTGTGTGTAGAAGCACAAAGCTCCTCACTTCTCTCCTTGATGAGTGTGTGCCATTCTATTTTGGGGAACAGTATGCTCCTCCGTAACTGCTTCACCCCCAATTAATCCTATCTTCTTTGTAACCAGCCCCACCTGCATGGGAATAGATGTGTGTTGAGTTACGAGCCCAAATGACATGCACATGCGAGAACTAGTGATTGATATGGGAGGTGGACAGCGGCCTCCCATTCAAGGGAACGATCCAGCTTGCTGCAGCGTATGCACACTTGCACATCATTCAGAGGGAAGAGGGAAGAATGCTTTGCACATGGGCAGCTGTACCCAGTGCTGGTGCCAAGCTATTCTGTGCCTTAGGCAAAGCTAACTACTTGCACACACCCACACCCCTGCCCAAAATGGCTAATTTTAATTTTCAAAAACGAATCTCTTGTAGAAATGATAAAAAAATTCAAAATAAAAAATAAAAGTGAAATATTATCAGAACTGTATAAGCTATAATGAAAGCTAATCTATAAAACGGTGCTCCTCAAAGGTAATCACGGCACCTCTCTGAGGACTGTGCCCAAGGCGGCTGCCTAGTTGCCCTAACGATAGCACTGGCCCCAGATGTTCCCATGAAGAGACTGATCATGCCCATTTTTTCTGCAGCCCCGTGAGCAATAATGCCCAGCGTGAGTATGCAGATAGTGATTAATAAATTGAAATTAACCCCAGTAAAAATGTGGTGATAATAAATTCACAAATACCTGCAATAAAGGTTATGATATAAGGTTAAGGATCATGGGCATAGCCGGGGGGGAAGGGACTGCCCCCCAAATCAAGTAAATGAATAAAAATATTTAACTAGCTGAGGTTCAGCGCCTACTAAAGAAGGCAAGGCCCGTCTCCAGCAGAAGGGGAACTCAGCACAGACAGCTAGATGGTGCCCTGGGGTTGTCTGTTGCCAAAGCAAGATTTGAGTCTGGTTACGTGGAGCTATCCAAGGTGCTACCTGGAGCTTAAGTTTGTGTTGCCAGAACCAGAATTTAGCCCTAAGTTATTCTGACTTGAATAGAAATTGAATTCTGCTTGCTTTGCTTCTCTGGCTGGCCTTGCCAGAACCGGAACTCTTGCCTGGAACACCCTCTCCTTGATCTGGAACCCCACCTGCCTGAGACCACCTGGGACAGAACACTGTCTAATTTTCCATGTGTGGTGTCAGAAAATCTTAAGTGTATAGACTTCCTGTGATTTAACACTCTATTCTTTGATTCATTTAATTGAAGCACAATCAAGTGACCACATACAGAGCTGGGGAAAATAAAAGAAACCATCTTTCTATCTAAAAAAGGTATGCGGAGGTGGGTTGTAAGCTAACAAAGAACAGATTAGAAGACCATTTTCATACACTTCGTTACAGAAGCAGCATTTTAGACTTTGAGATGATTGACTAGTGATTTTCCCACCATTTGTTCAATAACAAAGAAGCTGTGATTAGCTTAAGGACGGTCCCTGTTGTTCAAGAGGAAGACAAGGGAAGTTTTTCAAAGAGCAAGTACTCAGCCTCTGTCACAAATCTATGCAAGTGACTTTGTTGGCAAAGTGAACCACTTTGTTAATATAAGGGTTTCCACAATGAATTATAGACAAAATGCTACCTGTTTCCCTGGCAATGCATTATGCACCATCAGCACGTGAATCTTCTCAGGATGACGGTAAGAACCTTGCTCAGGTGGGTGTGTAGCCAGCCAGTTGTGTTCCAGTTCAATGGAATGCAAAACTATAAGTTTGGCCACAGCTTTTTCTTTTACAAAACTGTCTTGGGTATACTTGATGACCACAAGGCTCTTGTGACTATTCTGTTTTTGACATTATGTAGCTGAAATGATTATGTGGCTCAAACTGCTATCTAATATACCAGATTCTTCACTTCAAGGACATGCTGGCATAGCCTGTATGGAGATAACTTTCTCTTGGGTCAAAGGATGACCACGTTTTCCAAGCCGAATATCAAAGATTCAAATGCAGCAAATTTTGGGACCCTAATCAAAGCAGAATTCTCTTTGTTGCTGTTACCACAAAGGTGAGCAGCCACTGCCAGTGATACATGGCTGGGAATCAGCATTAGAGCTGAGCCAAAATATGAAGACAACAAACGTATTTGCCCTACATGGCATATATCTCACACAAAGCATTTTTTCCCACTCACTTGCAAAAGGATATGTACCGTATTTTTCACTCTATAGGACAAACTTTTTCCCCTCCAAAAATTAAGGGGAAATGTGTGTGCATCCTATGGAGCGAATGCAGGCTCCTTGGCTTCAGCGATAGCAACGTGAAGCTTCTGAAGCGCAGAGGGAGCACTCCCTCCACACTCCGGAGGCTTCACGTTGCTGTCACTGGAGCCTGGACAGCGAGAGGGGTTGGCTTTGGGTTCCTTTTGCTGAAGCCAGGACAGCAAGACTCTCCTGGCTTCAGCAGAGAGGGAGAGCTGCGCAGCACCCCTTCAGCGAAGTGGGAGGAGAAATGGAAGGGGCTCCATTTCTCCTGCCGCTTCGCTGAAGGGGTGCTGAGCAGAGAGGGGAAAAATTTTTTTTCCCTTGTTCTCCCTCTCTAAAACAAGATGCATCCTATGGTCAGGTGCGTCCTATAGAGCAAAAAAGTACGGTGTTTCTTTGCCATTTGGCAGCTGGGTGGGGTGCAATGGGAACATGGGGACATTGCTGAGGGAAATAGGGCAGTGCCCCCTCATCCAAACCAAACCAAATCACACTTAGTTGACTATGTGGGGCAGAACACAGACGGCAATGAGCATTCAAGTGATTGTCCAAACCTGCATCTACCATTCAGCATGGGATGATTGGAAACTGAGGCTGACACAGCATCAAAGGATCATCTGAATAGGCTCAACCGCCTTTCACACATCAAATGCATCTAGAGTCCAAGCAAGTTCTATCTTCATTGTCTATCCCTCCTTTTTCTTGTGTTGAGATTTTCTCTTGTGCTCAGCTATTCCCTCCCTCCTTCCTGCTTTCCTGAGGCTATCTGTTGAATTCCACACACGCATGCACAGACAGGGATCAATCCGAGGCTGACTCGCCTTCAGCTTATCTCTGCTCCAAATGATTGATTTTCCCTCTTTAAGGGTAATTTGCTGGTGAATTCCATGTATTGCAAAAACCCCTGTGAAATCTAATTCATTCCGATTGGCAGCTAGCACTTTTGGGAAAGAATACTACAGAGTTGTCCATTATTCTTTACGGTTATGATCCATGTAATGCATTTATATTGCATATGTGTGAATTTTAATGCACACACACACACACACACACGGAGATATGCACTCATATATATAAAATAATCTTCATGTCAAGACAGTAATTAAACTGATTATATGATGCGAGAGCTCAAAGGCTTGCCACTATTTTGTGACACTTTGTTTGCTCCTAATAAAGATATTGTCCAACTGTGAATTTTGGAGTGGCTGGCTGTGATGTAACTTAAATCTTAATACTAACAAACACAGTTTGCATAAATACAATTCTGACTCACCACAGAAATCTCTTTTCTCCAGTCTGAGGAATGTAAAAAATGGGAGAAGGAAAAAGAGAACTCCCTTGGCCCCTCCAGTCTTCCAGAGATGTGCCCTGCCTTGAAATGTACTGGGAAATGGTATGACCATTCATTATTCTGGTTGGGCCTGATGGGAGTAGGAATCCAACAACATATGGGGGTGCCACAGGCTCTTCACCCCTATATTCAGGCTGTGAAATTTTGGACAAGGGGCCTGATTTCTGGCTTTTTCAGTTTGGGACATGATCTTGTTTCTGTAAAGGAAGTCTCATAGCAAATAACACATCTATTTGCATTATAGCAGTCTCATTAAAGTTTCCAATGTACAGAATGATTGGATATGGAATCAAGCCATTGTGGTGCAATGAATGGAGCTCAAATCCCTGTCAAGCTATGATGGAACTCTGCGGGTGCCCTTAAGCGACCACTGTTTCTTAGCCTAATCTACCTCATGGAGGTTTTGCCAGAATAAAATAAAATGACCCCATTTCTGCTGCCCTGTGCTCCACAGTGAAAGGAGAGATATGCATGTCAGCATATTCCTTCCTCTAAGGTATTCAGGCCAGTCGTTCTCTCCCAGGTTAATCTACCTCACAGGTTTAGTGTAATGCTAAAAGGTAAAGGGTTGTTTGTCATAACCCTTACCACCTTGGAGCAAGGAGATTATAATAAACAAATGTATACATCAGCATCTCATCACTTGATGGAATGTCAATATGGTCATTTACTTATTACATTTTTTTTAAAAAGCCTACCCTTTCCCCGAGGAGTTAAGCGTTGTGGCAAATGCTTGATTCTACTTACTCTTGCAATAACTCTGTGAGATAGGTTAGCTTTGAATGTGTGTGACTGGCCCAAGATCATCGAGCAAGTTTCAAGACTGAGCAGAAAGTTGAGACCAGATCTCCCTGGTCATTTCCCACAACTTATGTAAAATGCTTCACATTTAAAATACATATAACATTTAAGTGTCATCAGCACCAACAGCAAAAAAAGCCAAACTTTTCAACATCACATTGCCCAGTTTTCCTAGCAAATCAACTGGGGACAGGAATGTAATTCTGAACTGCCCACACTTTAACGTGGCAGAGGCAAAATAATTATCCCACTATTTGGCTTTGTGACAGGAGACTATAGCTGAACTCTTGTGTTCAGTTATTGGCCATTTCTTTGCCACAAATGTGTCAACACAAGTCATGGGATTCAGAGAATGACAACAGTCTATAAGAGACTGCAGTAGTGAGGAAGGATCAAAACAACTTATATGCATGTATATCATGACTAAACTTCAGTATTAATTCATTTCAAAGTTAAAAAATTGTACCTCCATTTTACAGAAGGAAAAAACATTTCTAAAAGAGCATATTTTGTTTTCCCTAAAGCTGTTGCTAAAAACAACTAAAACCTGTCTTGATCTCAATTGCCTCTCCATATATTTATTTAGTTGCTTTCCCTGGTGAATTGAACAATTCCCTTTCTGCCCTTAAACAAATGAACTAGGCCAGCTCCTGCATGAATGCTGAAATACTATGATAGGTTCTGTCAGATATGTCCCTGTAAATCTGTGTGTCTTAAATTTTTCTCCCTTTCTCTGTCTTACTTATTGGATTGTTCTTCTAAAAAACCACTCCTCTAGCTGTCCACTGAAGGAAACACAACTGTCCACTGAAAAATACAATGCTCTGTGGAAATGACAATGTGAAATGTTCGTTCCTTTCAGAAGCCATCACCTTGGTCTCATCATGGGATAGTTGTTCTCTCCATCTTCTCACTGTCAAAGTTCTGTTGTTGTCTCCCCATAAGTCATGTGGGCCCAAATATGGCACCAACATGTTTCACAACATGATTTTTGTACTCTGCAGCAGCTTTCTTTATACTCATGGAAAGG